ATTTCTTATCAAAAATTGTTAACATTTGTTTAATTAAAATGTAAATTGGTATAAATGTTATTGGATGATGTATGAGATTCAATACGCAGCGCGCGCGAAGCGCGCGCCTGTTATGTGCTAGTATTATGAAAAATAACAGAAAAGTAACGAATCGTTACTTTTCAAGTAACGGTAACGAGTTACTTTTTACAAAAAAATAACAGTAATAGTAACGCATTACTTTTTAAAGATAATATTCCCAACTCTGCATTAACCCTATATAAATTTAAAAAAAAATCATTTATATATAGTCTACACAGAAGAAGAAGAGTTATTAGAAAACGTTAATTATGATCCACTACCGATCAAGGATCTTGTAGATCCCTCCATGGCAAATTGGTGTCATCATAGTCGACATATTCTTAAGCAAGGACGAATTATCTGGTGGAATCCAGAAAAGGAAGAAAATATCATCAATGTTAGTTGATTAGATTAAATATTTTAATTCCACTGTAAAACTATCATTTGTGATTACTTGTAAAAGTATTGCATTAATAGAGAGCGTTAATTATGTAGGAAGTAGAGGAAGAAGAAGTCGAAGAAGAAGAACAAGATGTAGAGAAAGATGAAGTGAAGATGATGAAGAGAGAGATTAGAACACCTCTCTTAATTCCTTTATCTGAAGATGCTATTATTGATTCCATGATACCGTGGATTGCTAGACAGTCATCATATATACAACCAGACATTGCAATAGCTTTAGTCAGATCAAATATCTGGCCTGGAGCATTCGCATTCGCGGTGGGAAAGTAAATATGCACTTAATTTACTCAATATTAACATTCAGATTCACCCAAAAGTCAATTGTTACACTATTGTAAAATAAAAAATAATTTTATAGCTTATAATTTTTAAATTTTGCACTAAATAGTATGTATATTTTTCTATAACACAGCGTCAAATGCATTTAATGTAAAACAGTTGTAAATTTATTTCACATTTTACATGCATAATTCATCAGGCACATTCAATCGCCATCTCACTCTATTACAAATACTTACGGCTTATGAACGTGAAAAAGAAAATTATGCTGAATTACAATCATATTACAAGGAAATTAACGCATGTGGAATTACGCTAACGTATAATTTTATGATGTCATTTGACAGACACTTCGCTACTATGTACATCGGCTGGGGCCATAAACACAATGCGTATAATTATAGTCCTTCCGATATGCCATCTGTTCAAGATCAGTATAAAATCGGACCGGAAATTATGGAAATTCAAGATCCTACTGCCAAAGAAGAAGAGGCGTATCAGTTAATGCGTTTACCACCAGCATTATCAATAGGTAATTATTAAAAAAATGTAAAATAAAATAATTGTAAAATACAACAATATACTATATGCGCGTTTATTTTTTTTTAAATTTAATTTCTTAAAATAATTTTTTCCTGCAGAAGAAGAAATGTTAGATAAAGAGAAGGAAGAGGATGAGGATGAAGAAGAAGAAACATATGGTGAAGAGGAAGATGATGAATAATTATCTTCACATCCTATCATTTTACACATGATTCATTTACATTTCTAAATTCTTGCATTATATGTTACATGAATATTTCTTTTATAAAAAATGCACTAAGATAACATACTATGACGTATACAGTAGTTTTATCTCCAAAGCATACTTAAAATAATTATTATTTGTTATTAAGTACTTTCAGAGAAAATAGCAAAATATAAATATTTGCTTTACAATTTTCCTCTTTTTTTATTTTGACAAAAAAAATTACTCAATTTATGTTTATTCGTGTAAAAAGAAAGTTGAATAGTGAAAATCGTCGCGAGATGCTATACAGAAAGAGTTATTAAGTGTTATTATGTTAATGACATACATACACGGTATGTACAATTAATTTCAAATTTCGTACACATTATGCTCAATATCGTTGCATTTCGTCAATATGACAGATTTCCTAACTTTCAAAAATGTCATTTAATGCTTAATTAACCGTTTAGCAACGAGAATAGAACAAGCCTGGAAGTCAAGCCTTATACCTCTGGGACCTACGACAACTGTGGTACTTAGATTCATATGGATCTGACAACCAAGGCAGGAAAGAAGAAGAAGAAGAAGCATTTAGCATCGAGTTTTCGACTCCTCTGAGATTTCAATCCTCGATTTTCACACAAAAAATATCGATTATAATATATTTTTATCAAAATATAAAGAGAAAACCGTAAACTAAACATTTATCTGTATCAAAACGCATTAAATGAGTATACTTCGAGATTCGTTGTGGAGCCCTAATTATTCTAAATAATTATCTTATTACACACAATAGAAATTGATAATTAAAAAAAAAATTATATAATGTTATCTTGGAAAGTTATCTACTTTATCGAAGATACTAGCCGCGATCGTCGCGATATTACCCAATGAGAATCAACTGCTTTACGTTGATGACGCCACATGTCCGGCAGCGTGTAATCTTGTTTCTAACCTCTTACAACACTTGCATACTGTTGTGTCTTGCGAATTGAATTATATGAATAGAAAATCTATATAATCTAGGTGAAATGAATAAAGAAGCGACTGAAATTGACTGTATATTACGACCTATGAATTGCGAAATTAATTTACTATCGAGATCTGACGGCTCTACAATGTTTATGCAAGGTATGTATAATGAAGGTTATGAACGAAATATTGTGTTAATACAATATTCTAATTAATCTAATTATTTTCTTCTATTAGGTGATACCACAATTATTGCGGGTGTAAATGGTCCGTTGGAAACAAGAAGCCAAAAAATGGCATATGATAGAGTTTCTGTTGAAGTTACATATACACCTCTTAAAGGACCAGCAAGTAAGTTTAAAAAATTAATCGTTATGAAATGTTATGTGTTTCAGCATTGCCTTCAGCATCTATATAGGTATTTATCAATTATTTCAGAGGTGGATGATAGATTAATTGAAACATATATAAAAGAGACTTGTGAATCTGCTATATTAGTTTCATTTCATCCTAATACCATGGTATGCATTAATCTGCAAGAGATGCAAGATTCTGGTGGGGTAAGATTTTGCTTTGTATTATATGTCAATAGCAAATCTTTTGAATAAAAATTAATAAAAACAAATAAATAAAATTTCAGCTACTAGCTTGTGCTATTAATGCGTCATGTTTAGCACTAATTAATTCAGGGCTTTCCATAAAATTCACCATTGCAGCTGTAAGTTGCATGATAGAAAAAGAAACAGGGGAAATAATTATGGATCCTAACAGCTTACAATTAAAAGTATATATAAATAGTAATAAATAATGAATTATGTATTTTCTCAAAAATTGAAGAAATATTTTTAAAAATTTTTAACTTGTTTACAGAATGCAAGAGCCGAATTTACATATGCATTTGACAGTATTAACAAAGATATTGTATGCTGTCATAGCATCGGCCGATTCTCTCAAAACGAATTCTTGACTTCTATGGATAAGTGCAGACAAGTCAGTAAATATGTGTTCGATTATTATAGGGAAGTCACAAAAAAGTATACAAATATAATATAATATTATAATATTATTTTCAAATAAACATTCTTTTTTACCTTCTGAATTAATGAAATTTTAAACGTCAGCATACTAATTAATATAACCGTTGGTAAATTTTCGTGATTATCAATGAAGTGCCGTTAATGGTATATATATACATATAAATGAGGCCCGAGAATAATTAAAAGTTAATATTATCAACTGTCGATATATAAACTTTTTAACCGCCGACATATAATTTTTTAAAATTTCGTTTAATCCATGCAGGATTAAATTCGTAATGTTTACATGGTCAATGTATTATATAAATAATAAAATGAAGAAAATATATCTTTGCCAACTGTAAATAGCCATTACATTACCGTTTTATGCAATACTTTGATGTTTCGCTAAACATTTTAATATTCATATTATATTTAATTATAAAATATATTTAAATTTAATTTTTATTACAACGCTCGTAATTAAAAAGAGAGAACTTTATAGTTTCTATCGATCATTGCGATTTGCGCTTCAGTTTCTAGTTGTTACCCAAAGAGGATGCAATATACTTCTTGATTTCTGCTGCCCTCTGGTGTATACTTTTCTTTGCTATATTTAAAGATTTTAGTGAAATATTAGTTAAGATCATTTGTAATATCAAACTTCAACTTTTATCAAATATTTCGAGCGACAACAAAATAAATATATTTCAAAGTAAAATATATTTTAAGCTTATATTTAATAGAGTCCATTCACACCATCTTATCAAGAAAATAAAAATATTGTGTATAACTCTGAATGAAAATATTAATATTTAAGCAATAAATTTAGAAAAAATGATGTACACGTTACAAACAAAACGAAATAAATAGCATTTAATTAACGTTTATTATAAATTTAATTAATATTAAACTCTATCATTATTTAAACAATATTATTCTTAAACATATTACCAATGATATTTAATTGTAAAGACAAATAATTAATATGTATCAACTTAATGTGCAATTTCTAATATATGTAGAGTAATATACATCATAGCCAATAGAATAATAAAAGTAAAAAGCTATTCTCTTTTTTCCTTTGCTTTGTATAGATAATGTAAAAAAAAAAAATTATGCATTCATGCAAATAATGACCGTAGGTTTTCATCACTTGATTTTTGTCACTTGTTTTGTTTGTATGTGTGTACATTTTATTCAATCAAGAATTCTCGCAATCTCGAAAGTGAATACACTGGAATTACATTGGCAACTTGTATTCAATGTGCGTTCGATTCTGGTGCGTTTAAAGAGGAGCGGATATCTGTCGGTAGAGCCACGCCTGGTCGCCAATCACAGGCTGTACCTACCATCGACGTACATCCTTTGTGTCCTCCGGACCCTTTTAGTCCTTCTTTCTGGCTCTCAAGAATCTAAAGATTTAGTATGGAGGGGGAACATCTCTGGACGTCCATTAAGTACAGAAATGAACCTACCAAGAGAAAGAGAGAGAAAGAATAAGCGCCTCGAACGGGTCGGACCAGATCCTCTCCTTGGCCGGGCCCAAGACCAAGAGAGAACTGAAGCGAGCGAGAAGAAAGTGAGAAAAGACGAGAGAGAGAGAGAGAGAGAGAGAGAGAAAGAGAGAGAGAGTGAAAGAGAAAAACATAGTCGAAGCCGGGTCAGACCGGGCCGCGTTTAGCTGAGGTCGCCTCGGGCCCCCAGACCATTAACAAGGAGCGGAGCAATTTATGGACCGGCTCGCTCATTTCCACTTTATTATTATTTTCTCATCTCATAGATGGTCTTCAGCGTCGTTTTGTTCTGCCCCCTCTGCCGTTCGTTCAGCAGCTTCTCTTCTTCTTCCTCGCCTTTCTCCCCTCGTTTCTCTCTTTCTCTCGTGAAATTAATACTCGCAGCTGAACTGGGAGAGCCACCGGCGAGTCGCGGCGGCGACTCGGCGCGGCGATGAGCTCAGAAAGGATACCTTTGGCTGGGCAAAAAATTGTAGAACGCGAAATATTGTTGCGCCGCACTGTCTCCTCCTACTTCTCAACCTCTTACATTGATAATAATTTCGATTCGCCCGGGCTCATTGGCACGACAAAGTATCCGGACGTGCGCATCGTTCTAATTATATCTCTATTACACAATATGATGTTAAAGCTACCTGTCGCTAATACGAATATATATCAGTAATGAATACAATATCGATATTCTTTCTCCCTTGTAATGATACATATAAGTTCGCATGACGCTATATTGCGAGAAACTATGCTAGTATGCTAGTCGGGCCAATAAATCATCGGTACACGAGTTAATTTTAAACGGTTATGACTTCCAACTTCGATGACGACACATACGATGACTTGGTGATCACCCCCCCCCCCCTCCAACCCTCCGTATCATTTCCCGTATAAAAGTTGTTTTCGCAGCAGCTCTGGCCACACTCTCCTATCCTCAGTTAAAAGTCTTGGATGAGCTCTCCATTTTACCGCCGAAATCCGCCTAAAAAATTCGAACATGACGATATGCGTCTCATGGCAAAATAGTCGTCTTTCTCGTCGCTAGCTCTGCTCAAGAAGGTGCGTCCATTCAGACCCCTTTAGTTCCATTTCTCTTCTTCCATGTGAAGGCCGCTCATCGTTTTGGCTCTCTAAGCCGATGCTCGCCCATTGGCGCGAGGGTAGTTGTTATAAAATTAGCATGAACGATCAAGTTAAGTCTGCAAAGGTAATCGCTCCGAGGGCACTGCGCGAGGGATTGGACACGCCAGCGTAGACCAGACCCTTTGCCCAATGCCGCCGATAGTAAGGCCCTTCGCTACCTTCGCCACATCCGATTGGCTCGAGACAATTTATGACCGTTTTGCCTCGAATGTCTTCGGTCGTCTGCGCGATGAAGGAGATCGTGGTTCTTGCAATTAAGAATTGCGATGTCTTAATGAACGCTGAAGCATTTAACAGCTCGTATCAATGACCGTACCATGATTTTAATTCCTCTGAATTTGTCTCTTCTTATTTTTTTCAATTACAACATAAAATATTATGGCATTTAATAAATCAATTAAGAAAATAAATAATCCCTCTTTTAATTTTCTATTTTCAAATGTTTTATTAATTATAAAAAAAAGGGAATGTAAGTATTTGTGTGTGAAAGTGTACGTATAAGCGTATGCAACTATTTTTGTTAATTTTATATAATAGTTTCAAATTACACACATTAGTTAGATTTCGTCAACGTATGCAATTAGAGAATTGAAGAGGCTAAAGAGTTTGCGTAATGCTAAAATTATTTGAAATCAAAATAGGCTGACAATATAAAAAAGTGATGAGAAAATAAACGAGTGCAATGCCAAGTCGAAGGTAAAAGTCATGTCACTTGATGCGTGACATGACTGGAAGTGACAGCCGCCGCGTGTAGGACAGGAATCGTACATCGAGGAACTGACTGTCCACCGGAAGGATCGTGAAACTCATCTCTGTCGGTCAAGGGCTCAGATGCAGACTTCTCGCGTTGGGAATGACAAATCCTCGTTCGCTGCATTTATTATAGTACTCTGGAATATTGACGTGCTATTTTTGCACACGTGACCGTACGAATGTTTTATTTGCAAATTATTATTATCGACGTGATTAAAACTTTCTTCTAACACATAGAATAAATTTTTAATATTGAGACTGTTGCCTCGGCTTTTATAGTCATATTATAAAATATTTGTTTTTGACATATTTAAAAAAATACTATTGAAATATTTAATACATTCTTACGTTTTTAGTCAACGAAACAAAACATTCGAAATGACAACCGCCTTGTGTTGAATAAGAATTGCACATGTCAATGTACGGCTCGAGGGACGCGCGCGAGGGCTTTTGTTAACGAGAACTTGAAGCATTTTGGATGAATAAGGAAGTGTAATTGAGTGATATTCCGATGAAAATTATACTTGTGCAAGAACAAATGGTCGGCAGGTGTATTTCGGTCGAAATAAACGGAAAAGCTGATGAGGATGATTGTAATAAAAGAAAGGGCAACGAACGATCGCGCGAGTGATACCAAGTATCCCGCGGTGCGACGTTGTCCGATCGGATCGCCGAGTAAGATTGATGGTTTCTTAATAACCGAGAAAAACCGGCAAAACGATCCGTTCGCCGCGACACCGCGGGTGGGCAACTGTGAGCATTACACCTGGACGACATGGTTTTTCTTCACATGGCCCATTCTGCCAATCCTTCAGCTCTCTCTTCCTCCAAGCCCATTGGATTTTTTTCATATCGGAAGCATAAATTTCTAATATGCATCAATGCGAGATACGATCAATTTTTGAATAATATGAAACCAACCAATAATATGACTCCGTTACTAATTTATGCCAGTAGATTGCATGAGTAAAAATATTAATTGTTTTATTTGATTTTATTCGATGAACCAATAATTCACTCGCGAAGGATGCAATCACGATTCCCGTGAATAAACTAATAAATGATCTAGTCTAGTGTAGCGTTCTGCGGGCAGTGCGCGTAATCGTCGATCTTCTTTTTTCGCTGGAGTTCAGATTATAATAAGAAAAATAGGCTTGGATTTCGGCGACGAAGTCGCCTATGTCGGCGAATGGATAAGAGAGAGCGAAGTCCGTTTGGTTCTTGTCACATTCTTGTCAAGCAGGACAGCGTGCCACGTCAATCTCCTCCTCGCTATATTCCGCCAAGATTTCTCTCTCTCTCCCTCTCTCTTCCTCCTCAGTACCGGCACGGCTACCGGATGTCTGCGTCCGATTGACCATGAAGAGTCGGAATAGATGGATGGACGGACAGATGGACAAGCGTTCAATGCGTCAGAGAAAAATATAACCGGCGCTCCATGACGCAGCCAAACTGCCTCGTTAGCTCGATTTATTCGCAAAAGTGGAAGTTTTGGAATCTAAGCTATGGGTTACCTGATAGCTGCCACGTTGCATCTTAGTCTCTCAGTCTTTCTATAAGTTCGTATTACACTTTTTTTCACAACAATGGCCTAACAATCTCCTTGCACTCGTATTACAATTGGTGTAATAATATTTAACCTGTAGCGAATTCTTATTAATTGGGATTCTGTACAGAATTGTTATATTGAAATGCAGATTTTAAATTGAAGTACTCGTAGCGAGAAGAAAGAGTTGATACAATATAAAGAGATATCTCTTTATGACGGTCTTATGCCTAATAGTATATGTTAGGCAACTTTTTTATATTTCATAATACTTTTACATGTCATTTTTATCGTGAAGAATGTTTCGTAACGCGTTCGACTAATCTCGAATCTACAAATAAAATGTAACGCCAGTATACGAGATATACTATCAAGTCATTGATCTTAGGTATATTCTAAGATTATTTATACGACGTGTCAAACTATTTCGGAAATAATGCGATCTTTGCCGGTAGCAACGATAGTAACCTCTGAATTAAACTTGAGCTCTTGAAGAGGATGGAGGGGACTAAAGCTCTCCAAAAAATACGGCGGCGAGTCGGCGACGAGGTCCAATTCATCGCGCGGACAGCTCGTGCCATCGATCAATCCGCCCTGATAAACGGTGGATGGTATAAGATGAAGGTAGGTAGGGGGAGGGGGAGGGCAAGCAGAAGAGAGCAACGATACGGAAAAGGTAGCCGAGCAACGTTGTACTCGGTAAGACATTAATTGACACGAATGAAGGTAGGGAAAGAGCGAGTGATCTTTCGTTCACTGGAACGAGAAAGA